CTTACAGGACTTTCAGTGGTTTCCAGTGGCTGAGAATGAGGGCAAGACGTTGACTGCCAAGCAGCACGAGGGAACTTGTGGAGAGGGAGGCGCAGGGTCTATATCTGTTTGTGGTGGTGATTATGCAACTGTTTTATTGGGTTAAAACTTATCTAACTTTACTTTTTAAAAGGGTGAGTTTTATGGTGTATAAATTATACCCCAATAAACCTGACTTTTTAAAATATTTAATCTGGAGAAAAGTAAACTTACAAAGTAAATTTTTTTATAGGCACACAGGAGTTGATTTTTCAGAGGAAGGATGAGGAGTCAGTTTGAACAGGGTAGTGAACATTCCAGAACGGGAATTCTGGACTCCAGAGGTCAGGGTGGAGGCTTCAGAGCCATCCTCATGGAGTGGTGAGTCAGTAAGGGGTCTCAAGTGAATGAGTGACAGTGGGGTATGAACTCAGAGGAACCCTCACATCACAGGGAAAGAAGGAAGGAAAAACAAAGAAATCAAGATGCACTATCAGCCAAGGCAATGCCAAAGGAAGAGGACAGTCTACATATTTTTAGTAGATAACACAGTACAAATACGTAGCACAAAGCAGAAGAGTAAACAATGAAAAATCTCCCTCTTGCCTCTCTCTGTTCCTTTTTCTAGAAGCTACCAGCAATGCCAGTTCTGTGTGACCCTCTAGACATATTCTGCGCATTCTCTACTGAACTTTTTGCTTTTTTTCACTTACCATGATATCTTTCAGATTGTTCCATCAGTATATGTAGAGCTGCCCTAATTTTTTTTAAATAACTATTTTGTATGGTACACCATAATTTATTTAGCCAGGCTGCAACTGATAGACATTTAGAGCTGTTCTGATATATTTGCTATTATGAACTATGCTTCAGTGAATGCTCATATTAAGGAATTATTTCTCATTTGTGTGAGTCTGTTTGTTAGATTGGAATGGCTGTGTCAAAGGATATGTACATTTTTTATTTTGATAAATATTTTTACCCCTGTCACCACCCTGAGTTATACCAGTTTACCCTCCCATTAGCCATGCATGAATAACTCAGCCTCTTTTCCCATGTCCTGACCAGCAAAATGTAAAATCTTACTTTGCTTTTTCTAATTTAATAGGCCAAAACAAAAAACAAAACAAAACAGGTATATTGCAGGAAATTTAGAGTGCATGTGGAGGAGGGAATTTTTGAGAAGCAAAGGAACGAAAGAACACCAAGTCGCAAGTATCACCTGCTTTAGTCCCTCCATCAGTCCAGACAGCACCTCTGTGTGAATTTTAAAAAGGTGCCCTTCTTCAAGACACTACTGCCATCTGCTAGAAAAAATGTTATGGTAACTACGCAAATCTGTGATGACTCGCCGGGGAAGAGTGTCCCTGGAGTGCACGACGGCCCGCTCCACCACTGGCGGCAGCGGAGCACAGTGGTCTCTGGGTAAGAACCAGACTGTCGGGAATTAATGTAGTAGAAGCAGCAGATACAGGACAGGAATTCAGGCCGTTTGACAGTGGAGCATGAGGGCATTCGCTTGAGGGACAGCCAGAACAAATGGAAACTTCATTATCCGTAGATTAGGCACTTGGAACTCAGGTCCCAGGCAACTCTGATATTAGTAATTTGGCCAGTGGGCTCATTAAGCTCTTAAGAAAAGTGAGTCTAGTTAATGAATTAATACAAGATGACATTTTACACACAGAGCAAAAACGAGACCAGGCACCACTGAGTTATGTAACATCATAATTTCTCAAGCGAATGTGATTGCCGCTTTTCGCCTGCCAAAGTGGGCAGATCTGGAGAGAGCCTGCTTTCGGCGACGTAAATGAAACTGCTAAGATCCACAGGCATTTTACATTTTATTCATTTTAAGGAGCTGCCTCTTGTATTCTTAAAACCGCAAGTGGTTACACAGAAGTCAGTGTTTTAACATCTCTGGACCTATTTGTTTTCCATGTGAAAATCCAGCCACTTTACTCTTTTAAACATATCTCACTGGAAAGAAACTCACTCCATCTTTATCCTCTCCCCAATTCTGTCCTCCAAAAGCGGACTCTCCCAGGCTCTGTCTCTGGTCCAGAGAGGTCGGTGAAGACAATGGAAAGAATGAACACTAAGAATCAACGTTAACTAGTTTGGGAAGGTGAAAAATTCTGGAGACAGATGGTGGTGATAGTTGCACCACAATGTGAATGGACTTAATGCCACCGAACTGTACACTTAAAAATGGTTAAAATGGTAAATTTTATGTGATATGTACATATATGTATATATATCATATATAATTTACCACAATAAAAAAAAGGAAAAGAACTTGCATTAGCTGAGTGCAAACCAGACACTTTGCTCAGCACTCTGCAAATACACTATATTGTATTTTACCCTCCCGGCAATCCAAGGAGATGGCTACTGTTACTTACTCAGCACCACCACCGTTTTAAAGATGAGGCATCTGAGGCTCATAAAAGTTCAATAACTTGCCCAAGCAACAGCCAGAAGTGGAGGCATCTGAGGCTCATAAAAGTTCAATAACTTGCTCAAGCAACAGCCAGAAGTGGTGGCCCCAGGATTCAACTTCTCAGCTCTATGCTGGAGATAATAAAATAAAGAGAATATTTTATTTTGTGTCTAAATTCTGAGACATGCACATACCCAAGCCCCCACCCAGCTTTTAATGATCTAAACTGAGGACAGAACTCCAGCGGAAACCCTGAGTGATGGCTAATTGTCTCCAGAACAATCCAACACTGCCTCCCTCCCTTACCTGTCTGCAGCGTACCTCTGCCTTTTGTCTGGGATTTTATTTGCTTCTTTCTGTACAGTTAATCATTGAAACAGTGATTCATGGGAATATCCTAGCTTTTCATCCATGTTTAAGTGTAGCTAGAAAGAAAATTTACACAAAGCCTGGAGCTTGAGGGGGAAGATCTTCATTTGTCCAGATTATGATTATTTGGGGGAATCGGGAAAGAAGATAGTGTGTTTCGCAGCATGTGATGTTTTGAAGAACTAACTGGATTCCAGTACTGACTCTCGTACTTGCTTTTATGTGACATTGGACAAATTAATTAACCTCTTTGAGTCAATTTGCTCATCTGAAAAATAGGAATAATCGAACAGTAATAGCACCCACCTTACCAGGGTGTGTGAATATACAGATTTTTTTTCATTTTCCGGGTTGTCTGCACTGATTGAATGTCTACTGTGTGCCAAGCAAACACCAGGGATACAGCGATGAACAAAACGGGCACATACTAGCGATGAGGGGTTAGTAAAGCTCTGCTCGGCTCCAGGATATGGGGCCTGAGCAGCCAGTGGTAGCTGCTGCTGCGACTTCACATGTACATTTCGGCCCCTGTGAACCCACTAAAACCTCCTCACTGCTTCAGAGGTGGAAGGAGCACAGGGTGTGGTCACCAGATTGTTTCGCTTGAGTTGCCTTTATTCTTCCTGCCGGGTCATAGCCACGGCTGGTTGTGGTTCTTTCACAAAGATGAGGAGTCTCCAGCTTTCTACAAGGAGGAGCCACTCAGGTTTCTTGTGCCAGCCTGGACCTTGCCATGGTTGCCAGGTGTGTCCTGCTGGCTGGGAAGCAGCTTACCTGAGTATTTGAGGTGTGACTCATGAGTACATGTGGAGGACATGGTATTGCCAACCTGCAGGGTGGGACGCATACCAGACCTTCACTTGAGGGCCTCTGAGGAAATGCCTGCACCCGAGGGCCTCTGAGAATTGCCTAGCAGATAATATTAGGGCTGCAGGGCAGAGTATTAGGAGCAAGGCTTTGAACTCTGACCTGGCTTCAAATCACACATGGCCCCTCACCTCCTATCTGTGACCAAGGTCACAGCCAGCTCCAGAATATGTGACCAAGGTTACAGCGTGGAGGTAAGGGGCCATGCGTGATCCTAGCTTCGCTCTTCTTAAAAAGAAGGCAATTAAAAAAGAGGCAATTACAGCACCTACTTCCTGGAGTTGCTGTGATAAATAAAGCATGTATTTGTATGTCTTGAACATGCACCTACACAGCACAATATGTCAGCTGTTGTTCTAAGTGCTTGGTAATTATTCACTCATTTCATGCTCACGACAGCCCAGTAAAGTGAGGACTATCACTATCCCCATTGTACAGATGAGAAAGTACTGCACAGAGAGGGTGACCACTTTCCAAAGGGCACACAGCCAGTAAGTTGAGAGGCTGGGATCCGAACCTGGTCTGGCTCCAAAGTCCATGATTTTAGCCTGTGATATGCTGGCTCTCTATCTTGAAACCTTGGCATGGCCTGGCATAAAGTAAGCACTCTGCAGACATAAGGAACCCCAGACACGCAACCGATGTTCCTCGTGTATATTGTATTAGAAATTTCCATTGAAAAACTGATTTATGCACTAGGAACTATCACTCCTATTCTTTGGATATTTCCTGGGGCCGATGTTTTTTAAACAACTTTATTGAGGTGTAATTAATATAACATAAAATTTGCCCATTTTAAGTGTACAATTCAATGAGTTTTAGTAAGCGTACTATTTGTGCAGCCATCACCACATCCAGTTTTAGAGGATTCTCATCCCCCCAACCAGATCCCTGGTGCCCGTTACCAGTTAATCTCAGTCCCCTCCCGCTCCCTCCATCCCTCAGGCAACTATTCATTAATCTATTTTCTGACCATAAATTTGCCTTTCCTGGACATTTCATCTATATGGAGTTATACAATGTGGTTTATTTTGCTTAGTATGATGTTTTTGACATTCATCCATGGTGTAGCGTGAATCAGTACGTTATTTTTTATGGTCAAGTGATGTGTCATTGTATGGATAGCCCATATTTTGTTTATCTACTACGGGTTGATGGGCATTTGGCTGGTGTCCACTTTTGGCTGTTGTGAATCCTGCTACTTCAAACATTTGCACGTACGTCCTGGACCTGACTTTGAAGCGTAAGGGGTGAGCCGAACTGGTAACTTCTCTCCTCTTCTCTCCCTTCGGGGGTTCCTCAGAACCAGGCAGCGGGCAGGTGTTTGTGACTTCGGAGAACCAGCTCGTGTACTACCCCAGTATCACCTACGCCATCATCGGCAGCTCTGTCATCTTCGTGCTGGTGGTGGCCCTGCTGGCGCTGGTCTTGCACCACCAGCGGAAGCGGAACAACCTCATGACGCTGCCGGTGCACCGGCTGCAGCACCCCGTGCTGCTGTCCCGCCTGGTGGTCCTGGACCACCCCCACCACTGCAACGTCACCTACAACGTCAACAATGGCATCCAGTACGTGGCCAGCCAGGCTGAGCAGAACGCGTCAGAAGTGGGCTCCCCACCCTCCTACTCAGAGGCCCTGCTGGACCAAAGGTGCGTGCTGGGTACAAGAGACTGGGGGGAAGAAGCTCCTCCCCTGGGGGGAGTGGCATCCGTGCACGCTGGGCTCTTAGGTCCTGCCAGGAGCCCACATTCAGTTGCTGTAGGCAGCAGCAGCGTCTGACATTTACTGAGTCCTTGCAAACAGTTCACATGTACCATCTCATTTAATCCTCTCAACAGTTCGCTGAGGTTTTATCTTTGCCCCTTTTTTACAGATGAAGAATCTGAGACTCTGGGATTTTAAGTTACTTCTCTGAGGACATATAGTTAGTTAGGATTCTGGCCAACTTGGAGCCCTGCTCCTTCCTGTTAATGCCACACCGGCACATGTGCAGGCCACTGACGTTCATGCTCATGGGTTTTTCCTGCTACTGCCCAACAGTGCTCAGCACATATCGGAGGTTTGGTTAATATCTGTAGAATGAATGAATGGATGAGTGAGCAAGTGAATGAATGAGTGATCTAATGAATTAATCTAATGAAGTAAGTCCCTTACCTTTGCTTGACTTCATCTATAAAATAAAGTGGATGGAACAGAGAACTCTCAAGCTTTGTTAAGCAGGAAAACTCTCATTGCCAATGGAGTCAATCTATAAAGTCGAAGGCAGAGTTCTGTAGTTGAAATGGGTAATGGACCTCAGTCCTGCCTGTTCAGCCCTCCTCTCCCCTTTGGTGACCTCCATGGGACCCCAAAGAACCATTTTGGCAGTCCCCGCACTAGTGCTATCCGAGTCCCCTTTGGTTCTGAGATTCCCACGCCCTCTGCAGGGCCCTGCTCAGCATCCCTCTACCCCGAGCCCGGGACTCACCATGCGTGATGTGAGGCATTTTGCAAGCCGTGTTCCCAGGGTAACGGGGTGCCCCTTGGACCCTCTCCTATAATAGCTTTTGTCTTTGTTTAATCTTTGTTTTCCCTGCTCATAAAAGGTAGCTTAGAGTGGGGCGGTACTCAGGGATATCTGCAAAAAAGTGTAAGAATGCAGGAGCTCACTCACCACTCATACCCTCTTCGTTCAGACCATCCGATGTAGAGTAAGGTTAAAGTCGCTGAAGCTGGAGACAGGAAGCCAGGTCCAAACCCCAGCCCAGCTGCTTACTAGTTATTCGTGATCCTTTGTGAGTCGTTTACTGCCCCTGCCTCAGTTTCCTCCCAGTACAAGGGGCATAAAAGTAACGCCTACCTCTCCTCGTGATCGTTTAGATAAGGTAATGAATGTCAGGTACCCAGCGTGATCCATGACGCGCAGTGAGCTTTCAGTAAATGAGAGCTGAAAAATGAAATGTCTTTTCAGTCATTTCATTACAAGCAAGGTATCATTATTATCCCCTCCTACAGATTAAGAGACTGAGGCGTTGAGAGGGTGTCTTCTCACTCACCCAAGTCCACGCAGCCAGGTAGAATTGGCTTTCAGTAAGAACCCCAAATTCTGTGGCCTGTCAGAGGCTGCATCCAAACAGCAGGGCCCCCCAGCCGCCGGCACGAAGCCGCTCTGCCAGACCACCCAGGACGAGCCGAGGGTGTACCTGGCGTCCTCCCTCTGGCTCCACCCCTCTGAGGAGGTAGTTTTGGCCCCGTGCAGTTGGCACAGGCCAGCCGGGGCACACTGACTCATTCCTCTTCCCTTTGTCTTGTTTCGTGGTCCTCGGATTGCCCCTCTACTTGGAGGGCAAATATCCTTGCTCACGTCAGCATCTGCTCAGAAACCGGTGGAAGCTGGCGCCGCCTGCCCAGCCTGGCCTCCTCCTAACGCATTCTCTTCCCTTCTCTTCTCACCCTCGACGCTCCCGCTTCATCCTGCCTTCTCCATCGCAGACCGGCGTGGTACGACCTTCCTCCGCCACCCTACTCTTCCGACACTGAGTCACTGAACCAAGCCGACCTGCCCCCTTACCGATCCCGGTCTGGGAGTGCCGACAGTGCCAGCTCCCAGGCGGCCAGCAGCCTCCTGAGCGTGGAAGACACCAGCCACAGCCCAAGGCAGCCTGGCCCTCAGGAGGGCACCGCCGAGCGCAGGGACTCCGTGCCCAGCCAGGGCACCGAAGAAGTATAAAATCCAGTTATTCCAAAGTCCATATAGGTTAATCTGCTCTGACTTGTTACCATCCTAACAACTCATGCTCATGGGAAGCTCCTCACGGCACCTCAGGAGTGATTTGGGGTGTCAGCTGCCTCTCCATTCCCCTCCTCCCCCAGATTTCAAGGATGTTCTTTGGAGGGTGACCTGGCATTTTTCTGGCCTCTCAGTTGTATACATGATGTATATTGTGCATCTTTTCTGGGAGGTTACTCTTCCGTCAGGGCCCAGGATCACAGCTTCATCCTTTACGTCATTCTTCTGTCCCCGTTGGAGTCTTGCTGAGTAGGCAGCAAGGAAAAAGCAGGATTTAAGTAGTTCTTGAGAAAGCATTGTTTCTGTGCCATGTTGGATGTTCAGAAGGGCAGAAGACACTGGACCACATTCTCTGTGGGCTGCCATGTTATAGCTCTGTTTGGGGATTGGGGCTGGATGGTCCTATCGGGAGGCTGTCACTGGGTGGCCATCCTGGAAAGAAGCCAGGCGAGCACTGAAACCTTTCACTACCATCTTACCCATTGCTCTCGATCAGCAGTGGCAGTGGCCAAAGAAAACTTCTGACATGAGTAACACCCTTCAGTAATTGGCAATGTCATTTTGGTTTTGTAAATAACCCTACAACCATCTATTCTGGATAGATTCTGGCTTTAAAATTTTTCCCAAGAATCTTTGTTTTAAGAGCTTTCTCTGGCAGCCTACATTAATCAGCCTCATCCCAGCATAGGTAGGGCGGCCCTGCCAGGAGTTTATCCGAGTTCTCAGCTCCTGAAACGCAGACTGCCAAGAGCCTAAGGCTGCTTTGGTCTGCAGTCCCTTCCCTGGTTTCTGGATTGTCAGCCTCCCAGCTGTGACCTGCCTACAGCCAAGGGATGAGCACCCAACTGGAGTTGCCCTAATATCCAGTCTGGCCCTTTGTCCCTGTAAACTACAGCCAGCCTGCCTTACCCATTCATGAAGCTTCAACACTAGCCTCCTGAGTTCCCTTAACGCTCAGAAGTCATTTCACCTGTGCATTTGGACTTGACACTGTGGTTTCTAACACCTTGAGAGCCATATTCAATACCTCCCACCAGAACTCCCAGCTCCCTGTACTGCACACACTCCCTTTTCCAAGACCCAAATACCAACACCCTGGTTTAGGATTAGGGTTAGGGTTAGAGTTAGGGTCAGGCCCCTCCCAAGTTAGAGAAACATCCCATAGTTTCTCCCTTGAGAGACATGGACAAGTAGACAATTTGGAGTGAAGATTTGCCATTCGGACTTTTTTTTTTTTTAAATCTTAGAAATGCATTTGAAACAGTGTGTTTGTTTTTTCCCTTCTAGTTAAGGGACTATTTATATGTGTATAGGACAGCTGCCTTTTTTGTTGTTGTTTTTCTTTAGTGAGGTCCAAAGAAAGATGCGAAAGGAGGTCACACCTTTGTCCTGCCGAGTCCTGATAACAAGTCACTCCAGACTGACCTGTGTGCCAGGCGTTTGTGCATTGTTGCACTTTGAGTTATTATTTATCAAATTCTCGAAGGATGCTGAAGGAGGGACGCCTGTCTCCCTCCACATAGTCTCTGTGTTTCTGCTAGCTTTCTTCTCTTCTCTGTGCCCTGCCAGCCACAGGGCCCACCCCTTGGGGAAATAATGGGTAGAAACATAGGCCATTATTTGGCAAGAAACTGTCAGGGGACAAAACTGGAACCAGGTGGAGCCACTCTGGGCCGCTCTCACCCATTCAGAACTTTTTTCTGTAGCTGAAGAAACTTTCAGTAGCATCTTTGATGCTAATTCACATGGAGCCTGCAGAGGGGGGATGATGTGGATTTCAATGATCCTTTTCTGTAGACTTTTTTTCTTTTTAAACCAAATCCAAAGGATATTATGGGAAAGTTAACCACTTGGTGATTTTTTTTTTTTTTTTTTAAGGATGCTTTCATCCTTCATTTTTAAAATAACACTTGAGTTATTTTCTGAGTTATCCAATAACGAATATTTGATGGCAGCCAGAGTGTGTTAGGAACTCTGGCTGAATATTTCATCTCCTGTGAGTCAGAATGGCTTTATTTCTCCCTCTGATGGTCCCCTGCTTCTGTGTGGTGCTCTGGAAGTTGTTTAGAGGAAAGGATTATAATTTTAATTAATTGTGGTGTGAATTAATCTCGCGTACTTTTCTGCTTCCAGGCATTTTAGGCAAACAAATGGTGTTAGTAGATAAGGGGAGCCTATTAATGGTTTTTAAAACAAACACAGGGACATTTTTATTATAGATTTAATTTTTTTAATGAATGTTTTTAAAAATATGTAAATAGGACACCAAAGCTGCAGATGTTTGGGGTTTTTGTTTTCCCCTACTCAAAATAGCAAATAAGTGGCCAGCAATATTTTTTAACTCATTCCAGTCAGGATATTTTTTTATACATTGTCTAAATCTATGCCAACTTGGAAAACCGTCTCTGCTCTCTCTTCTCAAATGACATTAGCGAGTCCTTTTGATTTTAGCATTAAAATCGTTTCACTGTGATGGATAGCTTATCACATGACTCAACCCCCTCTACTTTGAAATTGACATTTAAAAAAAAATGCAACTAAGTGGTTAATAGTGTGTGATGTTCAAAGTTGATGTAAACTGGAAAGATTATGTTCAGTTGCTTTTTGTTTTCTGGTTCATTTTTTTTTTTTTTTAATTTTATACTTTCAAATAAACTTGCAGTTTCCTTTTCTCTATTGGTGCGAATGGTTCTTAACCTACCTTTCTCCTCTGTGGCATGTGACTTCTGTCATGGCTTCTGCAATGAATGTATGCCATAGTAAAGTAAGAAAAAGGAAGACTATATTGATGGGGCCTCAAAATATGATGGGCATTTAAGGATTACACACCTGGCGTGGTTGGAATACAGAAGTGAAGTCATGGAAACCAGTTAGTGTCATGGGCCCTGGAATATCAGTTCAGAAGATGGGCATTAACTGCTTTCGCTATGGCCTTGTTTGAGGGAAAGGGGTAAGTGACTGCGATAATCATAGTAGATCCTGACCACATATTCAGGGGTATGCTACAACTCTCATACAAGGATGCTGGAAATTAGTTTTGAACCACAAATGGTGCAGACTGGCCCTACCAGTGATGGAAACATCTTTGTGCTCTTATAAGTCTCATTTTAGAACCATGTGTTGACTGATGCCACAGGACTGTTGCACGGGAAGTCAGGATGCAGAGGAGAGCACCGCTTGACTAGGAGAAGTAACCTTGGCCTGGGCCAAAGCTGAAATCCACATGGAAATCTAAACACAGGAACTACAGAACCTGGATTTAGCTCATATGTTGGTGCCTAGGTGTCTCAAAAAGAGGACCAAGCTATCAAATAGTGATGTCCTAAGTGTGTGCCAGGTCATGTTTTGTCCCATGAGGTCTAGAATAGACCTTCCTAAGCAGTATGTCTGGAAGGTTTGTCAAGATATTAATTCCTTCATTTCTCAGGGTACCATTTTTAATGGGTGCCAAGATGAGGAAATGATTGAAAAGCACCAATCTAAAGCAGAGATCAGTAAACTTTTTTGTCAAGGGCCAAATAATAAATATTTTTGGCTCTGCAGCCATAGGGTCTTTGTAACAACTACAAAAGCAGCCATAGACAATACATAAATGAATGGGTGTGCCTGTGTGCCAATAACTATTTACAAAAATAGATGAGCGGTCGGATTTGGCTCGTGGGCTCTTGTTTGCCAACCTCCGATCTAAAGGATCATTCCCACATTGTGTCCATAGATCCAAGGCTAGGGGTGTTTTAGAAAAGAAACAGAGTTAACGGCCTGGAGTATTAGAATCCTTGAAACGGCACCAACAAACAAATTAAAAGTAGCAGAACGTATAAAGCAGACAATTCAAGGACCTGTGAAATTAATTTTAATTGATCTTATTAGCTCTTTTCCAGCGAATAAGGAAATACAGGCTGAAGATGACTGGAGGCTTTCCCAGTGAGGTCTCTAATGGTTAGGTTGAATGCAGAGGCCCTAGTCAAAAACTGCTCTCTAAGGTGACAAACTGACACAACAGTCTGTCTTTTAGAGAAGAGTCCATGAAGATGAGTGGTCTGAGAGGTACTGTCTGCTCCATTTAGCTTGTCACCTCAGGCAAGGCAGTAGATTCAAAGAGTAAACTGTATGAGAAAGGACTGTCAGGTGGCCGCAGTGGGAAGTGTACATAGCACAGGATGTACCCAGTGAGACCCTTGGGAGAAATGTTGGTAAAAATATGCAGACTCCTTCGACATCCTAGGGTTAATCAAGTTTAGGAGAATCCCTAGTTGTAAGTGATAGAAATCCAAGTCAGACAAGATTGTGTTAAATTTTGTAAGATGTATTGGCTAATGTCACCAAGTTCAAGGGTATTGGACTATTGGTTTGGGGTAGGGCTGGATTCGGTTGTTCAACAATTGTGGTTAGAAATCTCTTTCTCTCTGTCCAGCTATTTAGCCCATGGCTTTACATTGGGTGGAAGCAAGTGTCACAGAATATCCAGGTTCACGATCTGAGAAAAAGATATCATCTCTTTTTGAGTCTATAGAAATTCCTTAAAGTAGACTTGTGATTGATCATCATCCTTAGTCACATGGCCACTACTGTGGAAGAGACAATTTCTATGTGGAAGGGGCTGGTCATAGACAAAATACCAATGTGTCTACTTTAGAACATCGCCAAGGAGTGGGACCCACCCACAACTGACTGGCACAATTTCTAGGACAACTTAAGAAAACAGCATACAAATACAAGCTTCAGGCCAACATAGACAGGTCTGAAAGACACAGAAGTTCCCTTCAAGGAAGTTTTCAGGAGACTCAATCGCCTTTCCCTAAACCTAGGAAACAAGGTCAGTTTCCATTGCAGGCATGTTGGGCTTGGCTTAGGTGTGCATTTATGAGACAGTCATCTGGGGTAGGTCACGAGGATGTGATAAATCCACAGAGGTGGAGTTCTACTCAAAGCTGAATTATCTTGTGAGCACCAGAACTATCCCCAGACCACTGAAAGTACTGGAATGGACAATTACCACCTGGAGTCACCCGTACCCCTACCCTGCACAGGATTTTCAAGTTGATGGATCAAAGATATGTTCCCATTTGTCACCCTTGTCAAGCTACCCAAAGATGTAGTTAGACTCAACTATGCATGCTATTAAGTAGCCTTTACTAGGTTAACCCTTTTATTTATTCCATAAGAGCTAGGATGCATAAATATCTAGATAACCACCCCTAGGAAATTCTAGGACAGCTGGTGCCACAGGAGCTAAAGGGCTGAATTCCCCTCAGATTTTGGGACTTGAAGGCATGACCATGGGAGACTGGGATGCAATATTGGAAAAACTTGTTTATTTTAATATGACTGGTGCTTTGGTTGGGCTGAGTTTGGGTCTGTGGTCTGAGCAAGGGTGGTTCATGTTAAGTTCCAGTACCAGGCAATATTTGGCTTTACTTGGCCTTCAAGTTCACCCTGGCGAATCATCCCAGTGAGCCAGCAGAGGAAGAGGCATACAAAGGAGCACACGCGGGCAGTGTTCGTGGGCCAGGCTTGGAAGTAAAACACACACCCCCACTCACATTCTATTGCCTAGAGTATGGTCAGTCTCATAGCCACACGTACCTACAAGGGAGGCTAGGAAGGGAGATTGGCTGTGTATCCAGGAAGAACTGGAAGAGGGTTTTGACACCAGTCACCAAATAGCTATTTGCCCTCCTCAGCTTGCGCATAGAATACACTCACCCCCTCCTGGAAGAAGAAACCCAACTGTCTTATCTAATCAGATTCAAAGTCCAGGAGCTGGCGAAAATTTCTATGACAGGTCCAAATGTGGCTCCCTGGGAAAGGATTTCTCAACCCTACACAGCTCTCATTATCTCTCTTCTAGACTGCCTCCCTTCGGCCTAGTCTCAAAATCCTCGAATAACTTAAAACTATTCAGGATAAAAGTCAAAATCACAGTCTATTGGACCTTACGCCATCAGCTCCCCATCACCTAGCTCACCTCATCCGTTACTCTCCCGCTCTCTGTCAGTCTGCTCTGTCTGCCTTTGCCACCTTGCCGGTTCTTGAACCCACCAGCCACACTGTCAGCTCAGGACCTTTCTCTTGCGTTCCATCTGCCTGGAACACTCATTTTCAGATACCTGCAGTACTCTTCCTCCTTAGAGAACCATCAGGAGCCACGTCCACTTAGAATCTTGATATCGCTGTTCTTGAGACTTCAGCTATAGCCACATAGAAACTCCTAAAAGAGAGAAGACCAGAGCTCTCTCTCGACCAACATGAATCTGAGTGATTTCTAGACCAAAGCAATACACGGATGCTTGGAAAGGAGCCTTGGAGAGTATGGTCAAACAATATAGTACGGACATTTAATTTAATTTAGACCAATGTTATCCACGGATCAGGAGGTGAATTGATTTAAGAAATACCTTGAAATTCGAAATAATACACTGACATGTGCAGAACAGAACCCACCAGGGAGCTTGATCTTTCAGTGACCCTGCATGAAGTGTGACTCTTTTGCAAAAGAACCCTAGGCAGACCTTTGTCTTGAAGTGCGTTCCCGGTATGCCGTCTGTGAACCGGCTAAGGCCACACAGACATGCATGGAAACCCCAGGACCACAGATTCTGTTTGGAGGTGGTGGCATCCCCATTCAGAGATGAAGAACCTACACCAGCTCAAACAGGTAAAAGAGTTACAGAGATATTCTAGAAAGAGAAGAAGGGATCGGCTTCCTTGTACGTGAAAAATAAACTGCTTAACTAATCCCTCAAGTTGGAATCAATCACCAGGAAATAACTGATAATATGAGTGTCTTGACCCCACTTGCTGGCATGACTTAGATGGAATAAATGCCTCTTTCATGAAAACGATGTTTATGTTTGCCCAGTGTATCAACAGGGATCAGTCAGTATCACAAGAACAAAGGATTGAATATGGAAATTAGAGTTTACACTGGTGAGGGCAGAGCTGACAGACGGATGCCTACAAGGCTACAGCTGGAAGATTCCAGACACAGTTACCAATGAGCCTGGGACAGGTGGAGAAACCAGAGCTCACAAGAGAGGCCAAGAAGCCACCACATGGACCCCAGAAGAGAAGTGCAGCGAGTGAGCTCACGGAGAGCATGGCAGGCCGTGGGGCTCATCTATCCGAAGCCCTGAGAACGATGACTCCTGCGCTGCTGCCTTTGAATCTCACGTGAGCGCCGCTCATTGGTTCTTATTCGATGAGAAAAGGGAATTTCATTTTCGACCTTTACTTTTTGTAGGCATGCCCAAGAATTGGAGTTCGTAGTTTTCAAAATTGTAATGATTGATTCCGTTATGTGATTTGGTTTACTCGCTGGTAAACTGTTCAGACAGTTTGTGCTGAGAAATAGAAAAGTATGGCTTTTATGGAGTTTACAAATGATCTGTTTGGACCCTCAACAGAACTTTTAACTGCCCTCTGTGGATCCCGGGGAGACTCAGAGAGGGACAGTTTTAAGTATTGATTGAGCAAGTTCATGAAGTTGGAAGCCATTATGTGATTTGGTTTACTCGCTGGTAAACTGTTCAGACAGTTTGTGCTGAGAAATAGAAAAGTATGGCTTTTATGGAGTTTATGAATGATCTGTTTGGACCCTCAACAGAACTTTTTACTGCCCTCTGTGGATCCCAGGGAGACTCAGAGAGGGACAGTTTTAAGTATTGATTGAGCAAGT